ACCTTACAACTGAATGGAGCTCATGGTTTTCAGGTCTGATCAGCAAAACGGAAAGGTTGAAGCATGTATTAAAATTAAAACTGAATAAACAGGTGTTTATATCGTTGATTAGACAGCCACTACATGTTGTTGCATGTCTGAAACTTGAAATGACTCCTTTTGTGCCTACAGGCCTAATCAGTAGTCCAGAAAGGAAAACTGGTCATTTGTTAAAATACTAATATCCAAAATGTGAAAAAAATTGAATTTGCTGCATTTTTTCCTGAGAAAAGGTACTTGAAAAACCCAGGAAATGCTCTAAAATGGGCCGACAACATCCAAAGTCCCAAAATTTTGGGGGCTCTTGGGTGGGGTCCAAACCCCACGGCATGGCTTCGCAAGATGTTGGTAAAACACAATGGAAATCCCCCCCCCCCAGTTTTGAAAAATCCTGGGGAGAACCCTGGGGAGGTACTGTAGTATGTAATAAATTTAAGGAAATAGCAAAATAAATTTAGCTTGTCAATTCTTATTTACAATTCTCAAATGCAACATAACTTTATTAGCACTGAACAGTGCTTCCCTGAGGAAAAAACTCCACAGTGTGCTAGGCTGGGATTCAAACACATGAAATCCTGCTTACTTCAAAATTAAATTTTTGCTGCTGTCACATGGACCCATGTAGATTCTTCTGATGCATTTAAGCCTATATCGATGGTTATTTTTATATACTTTGTCGTGGTTCACAAGGACGATTTTTGGTAAGACCGTGGCACACACAGTGTCGGTGGCCAGTGCATGCATAGTACTGACTACTGTACCACATCCATGCACAGTCTGTAGTGTTTTCGTATTGATCTTCGCCTTTCCTTCGTAATTTCGGTATCATTTATCATTCTCATTTATTTTTTGGTAGTATGTGCTCATTATTTTAAGACCAAACTTTTTATTATTTTGGCACAAACATTAACCTTGTGATAATGGGAATAAGTTTGGAAAAGTTTGACAAAAGTTTTAGAACCTAGCAAGAAAGTTCAAACAATGGTAGGGGCCTAGGTGAATTAAATTACGTTTCAAGTAGGCATGCCTGTGTTTGTATTTGTATATGTAGAATAATCATACATTTTCAATTAAAACCCCAAGAATCTATTCAGATTGAAGTTTTTCAAAATGAAATGAAAACCGCGGTGAAGGCCTATTAAGCTAGTTCTTTTTCAATGATGCACATCAAAACAATTTTGTACCACCTAGCTCCTCAAACAGTTAAGAACAAGCACATGTAAAATACAATTGTGCAGTAATAAAATGTGGATAAGATATTTATTAGACATTTGCCCCTTTCATTAGCAAAAGCACAGTAAAAACACAAAGCGAAGCTCCCCCCCAAAAACAAAAAAAAAGAGAGAGAAAAGGGAAAAACTTAGAAGTGAGTGTAAAACTAATAATTTTCCTTTTTTACAATGACTGAATGAAATAGAATGGGGTAATGGGAGTTACATACTAAATTTTAAACAGCGCCCTCGGGTGTCAAATAATATCCCCCCCCCCATATCTGGCATACATGTGCGGTAGATGCCCTTATCCTTAGTTTGATCCTGGCTAGAACACTGTCGTAAAAATGACTTGCAAAGGGTGCGTTCGATTAGCTTCCCTGAACACACCACCAGTGTTACACCAAGGGAAGCCTCGAAATGAGGCGAATCGAACGCTGCAGTGTATTCGCCAAGGCATTCTGGGAAAAAGGTCAAGTCCCCGCCACGTTCCATCATGTCCATATGGGATATGCACGAACAGTCCATCCGTGATGTCATTACACTCGGGCAGCCTCCACAGACCCGCTCGCCAGCTGGGGTAGTGGTGGCTGACACCAGAGCAGGCACGAAGATCACGTGATGGCTAAACGTACGCTCTGGTGTAAGTTTGACTTACACGTGTAAGCTAATCGAACGCACCCATAGATAAAGTACATTATAACACCTCACCCACAGATCCTGTATCTTGATTGGCCGAAAGTGTGTCATGTGACATTTGCAAGTTTTACTGTTTTTATACCACCGCTTCCAAAAGACAATACCATGCAGCCTCATTCTGAAAAAGAACTACATGTACCGGTATATACCCGTAGCAACCAAAGAACTATATCCATAGAAAGAAAGCATATAAGCGTGTATTTCCGCTCAGAGCAAACAATATATCGGTTAATGAATGTATTCAAACGTTGCTGTTCCACTTGGAATTCTTGAATTAAATTTGATGAAAGTAAATTCCAGTTTGGAGTTTCATTATTGATTTTGAGGTTAAATTTGGCAGAATCTGTGAGGTGTTACAAAACAAATACTGACTGCTTTATCTCGCGGTATAGTAAAACTAGCCTCCCGAAGTGATTCATGGAGCATCTATTTTCCCGAGGCACAGCCGACCGGGGAAAATAGAATGCTCCATGGATCACCTTGGGAGGCTACTATACCCAGCTAACAATTTGACGTTGTGACGACGTTGCCACAAGGTCACGTTTTCGTTTCTGCAACGTTACAAAAGTGACGTTGTAGCGACGTAAAAATGTCAACTCCCAGTTTCGTTGCCACAACGTTATCACACAACGTTATGAAGACGTTTTTACAACGTCAATACAACATGATGTTTTGACATGTCCGCTACAATACTGCAACCCTGAGACAACCGAAATATCATGTTTTTACAACATTTAGGCACGTAATAGCAACATATTTACGACCTGATTTTTACCAAGGCACAACGTTTTGGCAACTTAATGGGCACGTAACAGATACGTCTTTACAACCCTGTAGGAACCCGACCACGACTCAACAGCCACATTACTGCAACCTTGGCGAGGACGTTTGTGCAACTTGTGGGTAACGTCAATACAACTATGCAGCTTCCTAAATGCAACGTATATGACACTGCATTGCAACACATTTGGAACATAGTAGCTAACTGTAGTTGTAGATATGCGTATGCAACCTCTTTGGGACGTGATTACAACTTGATGAGCACGATATTGAAACCTATTTGCAACCCTGTGGGCACGTCTATGCAACTTTGTAGTCACGTTAATGTAACATTCCAGTGACGTTACTGAGTACAATACTACAACATTGGAGGGACGTTTTAGCAACAAATTTGGTACGGTACATTTGGGGAACGTTACTGCAACTTGTACTGCAACCATTTAGAAACTGTACTGCAACCATTGTTGACAACATTCCTGCAACTTTGAGGGCACCACTTATTTGATGCTTAACGGCTGCACTTATGCACATTTTTACATCAGTCCTACCACATTAAATATACCTGTCGACGAATGACAACAAAACAACTAAATCAGAATTACTTTTTTCTACTTTTATTACAAAGTATTAACTCCATGATCTCG